GGGGGCTGGAAGCCCAAGGCACGGGGAATGAGGACAACAAAATGCACAGAAATGTATGTAGACTAGTCCCTTAAAAGAATGTTTTTAAAAACAATTTCATTGGCATACGAGAGGGTACTCCCCGCAAAACAGACAAAAGCTCTGCTGGACAGAGCTTTCGTAGTGCTCCTTTCCCCACGAGGCAAGCATTGAGCAGCTCGCTCTGAGTTAGTGCACCCGGTAGTTTTGCCTGGGAAGGTTCTCTCTGGTCATGGTGAATTTTTTCATAAAAGCAGTTTCACTTGAACCTTGTTTTTTGTGGTGGCCGATTTAAGAGAAGAGTGTGTGGCTGTGAAACTTTGTTTCCTGACCGGAAAAAATGCCACAGAAACTGTTGTGATGTTGAATGCAGCTTACAAGGACAGCGCTAAGGGAAAAACTCAAATGTATGAGTGGTTTTCTCGTTTGCAAAAGGTGAAGTGTCGATTGATGACAAACCTTGTTCCAACGTCCATCAACTTCCCAAATGGCCAAAAGTGCCAACAACATTTGTACAATTGTGCTCAAAGACCTACGATGGACCATTGAAGAGGGAGAAGTTATCTGGACCATCTTGGAGCTCGGTGTGATTTTTTTTTTTTTGATGCAGCGAAATTTAACAGAAAATTCAGCAATGAGAAGGGTCGCTTTGAAATGTGTGCCTCGGGTTCTGACCAGGAGAAAGAGCATCTAGTAGAAACATTCCATGGTTTGAAAGAACAGCTCCTGAAGCTCGCCCAGTGGTCTCGTGGATGTGTGTCTTCCTGTGTTTGAACGGAATAGACCTGGAGACTCGCTTCCTCCATCGCCCTGGAGACTCGCTTCCTCCATCGCCCGACCACTCTCCAGTGTCCTCTCCAGGCATCACCTCCGGCACCATCTTCTTGGCCTCCATCTCTTACTGGGACGAGCTAACACTGTTTTATTTTGTGTGCGAGGACCTCCACACCGACCAATCATGAGCTCTCAGATCCATCAGAAATATTCCACAGAAGCGGAGGCTGGCGTCAACCCTCTGGTCAGCCTGCATCTGCAGGCCTCTTACAAGACCTAGTTCTCTCTGGGCTTCCTTTTTGACTGCGATGATTCTTCCACAGGCTGGTGAAGTGAAGCGCAAGGGCGCCAAGCGTCTCTTGCAGCTGCAGAAGCAGCACGCAGCTGCACTCTCTTCCAGGATGTGCAGAAGCTGTCCCAAGAGGAGTGGGGTAGAACCCTGGACCCCATGGAAGTGGCCCTGGCCCAGGCCCTTCTGGGCCTGTATGCCATGGGGTCTACTCATACAGACCCCCATCTCTGTGACTTTCTGGAGAACCACTTCCTGGACAAGGAGGTGAAACTCCTCAAGGAGATGGGCGACCACCTGACCAACCTCCACAGGCTGGCCAGCCCCTAGGCCGGTGGGGCAAGGATCTTTTAGAGAGGCCTGCCCTCAAACAGATCTAGGCGCCTGTGGAGGCCCTCTGCCTCCACCTCTGCCCGAACCTGCCCCTGCAGTCGCATTGCCCAGCTCCGGAACCCCTCTCCCAAGCTGTGGATCAAATAGAAACAATAAAGCCTCCTTTTGCAGCAAAAAAAGAAAAGAAAGAATAGCTCCTAAGCCACCCAGACTTTTTTCCCCAAGGTCATTACTGGTGACAAGCCATGGTGCTATTCTTACGACCCTGAAAGCAAACATCAATTAAGCCAGTGGAAGACGCCATTGGTCACCTCACCCCCCCAAAAGCTTGGCAAGTGCAATCAAAGATCAAGAGATGCTCATTGCTTTTTTGATGTGAGGGGGATATTGCATTTAGAGGTCATTCTACCAGGTCAGACTGTTAATCAAGCTTTCTATTTAGAGGTTCTGAAAAGACTGCATAACAGTGTGTGACAAAAAAGTGGCAGACGGGGGACTGGTTTTGGTACCATGACAATGTCCCTGCTCATGCAGCCACTCAGTGTGCCAGTCTTTGGCAAAAAACAGCGTGCCTTTCTTGCCCCACATACCTTACTCACCTGACTGATCTCACTCCGTGTGACTTCTTTTTGTTTCCTTGAATGAAGAGGGACATGAAAGGATAGTGATTTGAGGACATACAACAGGTGAAGAAAAAAACAAGGGAGGTGCTTTCAGTCCTCCAAACAGATGAGTTTGAAAAATGTCTTCAAGAATGGAATCACAGATTTGACAAATTTAAGTGTAATGGAGAATACTTTGAAGGTGATAAGGTTGTTTTGTGAAAAAATTTAAATACATAGCTTTTTAAAAAATTCCGTTTTTTGGGGGGGGGTTATCCTTGTATAAGTCACATGTCATACAATTCAATAGTTCAATAATATTAGGAGTTGGACAATAAGCATCACAATCAATTTTAGAACATTTTCTTCTTTCTTGTACTCATTGTTATTAACTCCCTATTTCCCTCCAATCTACCCTGCAATTCCTCCAAGAAACTATTAATCTAGTTACTTTCTCTATAGATGGATATCATGTTCAGAAAACATACCAAAGGCAACAATAAAAACTAAAGTAAAACAGAAAGCCTCAATTAGAAACAAAGCAGAAAATATTAAAAAATAGAACAAGTTAAAAGTGGGTCAGAACAGAGACTAAGTGATACGGTGCTAAATTTTAACCCAACTGCATTGGCAGTAATCTGATTTCCATTGCACTCAGCATGATAGCAAGGCTATTCACATCCCTGGTCTATGGACAGAGGGGATTCACCGAAGAGTTAATCCGAGTAGAGTGCATTTCCCCCTTCACTTTTTTTTTTAAGTTTTAAAATGGGTCAAAGAAGAGATCAAATGATAAGGATGTATTACTTTTCAAAGGTAATAAAAACCCAAACGAGTGAGTCTTGGTTACTAAGCCTAAATTACTAAGTATATTCCTTAAGACTGGTCATTGCTTTTAAGACCCACATTCTGTGCATGTGTTTCATACCCAAGTTCTGAATCATGTCGTCTTGGTTTGAAAGGAGGTGCTGTACGTACAGAAAGCGCGTCTCTAACTCCTCAAGCACCTGTGAACCTGGAGGACTGCTCATACCTCTTCTCTTCCTGCTTTATGTTTTACATGTGCAGCACAGCAAGTGTGCCACCTACTCCGTGGGCATGCAGAAAACATACTCCATGATCTGTTTAGCCATAGAGGATGATGACAAAACGGACAAAACCAAGAAAATCACAAAGAAGCTCTCCTTCCTGAGTTGGGGCACCAACAAGAACCGGCAGAAGTCCGCCAGCACCATGTGCCTCCCATCAGTTGGGGTCGCGAGGCCGAACGTCAAGAAGAAGCTCCCCTCTCCATTCAGCCTTCTCAATGCCGACAGTTCTTTGTACTAATGTGAAGAAAACGGAGCCGTCTAGACCAGGGCATTTCTGAGGACTGGCGCGACCTTAATAACTGTGCCATAATGAGCAACTTCTCTTACATCTGGGTTGTCTTAGTCTGAGCTCATTGCCAGGATTCTTTATGGGTGAAAGTAACAAGAAGCCTCTAGAAATTTGAGGATAACACACTGATTCAAGTGTCACGATATTGCTGCATGTTATTTATTAAGTGTTGTAAATAGGCAGTGTTGACATGTGGCTAATGCTGGCAGTGGTAACTTTGCAGTCGCAGTCAGAGTGAAGTCTGCATTACCTACTTCAGTCCGATTGAGAAGTCCCAGATTTGAGTCATAAAAGGTCTTTCACCAAACTTCAGGACGACCCTGGTTTAAGGCAGGTCAGGGGGACTACAGTAATAAATCTAAATTAGTGTTCTAGAAACTTCCAAGAGCTGCTTCCTAATGCTTCCTCCTGAATCTAAAATGACGGCATTTTACTGTTACCTCCACAGAATTTGAATGCTATTTCCAGACAAAGCCTAGTGCCAAATTTGTCAGGACTTTTAAAATGAAGACAACTTAGGGGCAGCTTGGTCATTTCTAATTTCAGGTCATTTACGAATTGCTAACACAGTGGCAGTGTTAGATGAAGATGCTATCTACAAGGTAGATAAGATACTGTTTGATACTCAAAACACTTTTCATTTTGTTTAAAGTAGAAAACACATAGTTATATATTTTAAAAGTCTTGGGTTAAAAACAAAACGAGCTTCACTTTTTTCTTTCAAGTAAAGATGGACACGATTCGGAGCTCTCTCGAATTCTTATTCTGCCAGCCAGGTTATCTTGTTGTAAGTAAGTTGGATGAGACTGATTCTCTCGAGGCTCACTATTGACAGAATACATGTATACCTGGGTAGAGTTAAAACGATGTGATGCTGAAATCCATGTTTTGAGAATTAACAAGAATCTAAGTGTTTTCTGTCGTGCAATATCAAAAGGGATCGACCACCTTTAGGAAAGTGTATTCACTACTCCTAGGGCCACGTTTGTATCAATATTTAAATAAACATTCCTTTACACTGAGTGTCACGTTTTGTTTTTCACTAACATTTTCTTGTGTGTGGGGTGCAAATGTACACAACAGATTCTCAGTTCCCATTTAACCATATCGGTTCAGACTGTTCAATGACATTGGTTGCCTTCTTCAAAATTCAGGGACATTTTCAATTCTTTCTGCTCTGGTTCTGTTGCTCGGAACCTAGTTTCCCTGCCCCCTTACATTCTCATCTTGGTTTTAAACCTGATTATTGGCTGTTTGGTGTCAGAACAACTTCTTAATGGCATGCAGTACTCATAGGTAATAACATGTTATTTTGTGGGCCAATCTGTTACTTTGCTAAAGGTGACCTCAAGGTTGTTTGGATTCAAGGTTTAAAGAGTATCTCAGGGCAATAATCTTGGGGAGTCTCAGTCTCAACTGGTCCAGCGAGTCTGGGTATTTAAAAAACCTGAGGTTCTAGTCCATATTTCTCTCCCATTCTATCTGGAGCTGCCCATCTACGGTGGTCCAGGTAAGAACAGTTGACAGTGGAAGCCAGGCATCATCTAGTTCCTCTGGCCTCGAGGTAGATACGGCTATGGGACAGTATTAGTCCTGTAGAGTAGTTTCTTCTCTGAGCCTTTTTCCTTCTTTCGAGCAATAGTTGTATCTTAGATGGCCACACGCTCTTAGGACCTAGACACTTCTTGTGAAAGTAGGTTCTAGAACAGCATCTTGTGAACGTATTTTACAGGCCATCCTTGAGATGGCTTATGAAATTGTGATCCTAATCCTGCAAACCCAGAAACATTGTTGGTTGGTTTGCAATTCCCAAGAGCCCTTTGTATTTTTGTGCTTTCTAATGCCATCATTTAAAAGCTCTTGAGCTTTTAAGGCCTCAAACTAGGGGTAGAACATGAGCTTTATGAACTCTATTATGCCAATTCAGTTATCCCATGAGACTAAGCCTTCAAACCCAGAAAACGAATCTCACCAAGTATTGGTTATGTCTAAGAAATATCCATAAAAGAACTCCCCATGTGGCTGCTTAAATATAGGAATGTCGAATCACACACACACATGCATGCATATACACACACAACAGAAGTTATGGGTTAAGTGATGTGCTACTAAGCAAAAGGTTAATGGTTTGAACCCACTAGCTGCTCTACAGATGAGGCGGTCTGCTACCATAAAGACTTACAGTCTCTGAAACCCTATGGAGTTCTGTTGTCGTCATTATGAATTGGAACAGACTCAACAGCCCTGGGCCTGGGATATACACCTATCCACATTTGTGTGCATACGTATATACCCACACAGAGGTATTTTTGGTAAGGTGCCGGAGCAATTCCCTTTTTTCTTGTGGCTTAGTGACATTGCTCCCTTGGTCAAGCTAGGCTCACTTCACTGACATTTGGTATTAGATGTTGCATCACCCAAAATAACTTCTAGACAGTCATTTCCCACGATGCCCTCCATCCATCTGGTAACCACCAATGAATGTTGTTCTCTGTTTAAGAAAATGCAATCACAACATTTGTCCTTTTGTAATTACTCTCCAGAGTCCACCATCCCTTAGGGCTGTATAGCATGCACTGTGTGCACGCACAGTGTGCGTGTGCAGTCATCTATTGGTGAATGCTGGGGCGGCTGTCATCATTCTTAGCTAATTCCTTTTTTAAACATTGATTTCATTTTAATTCCTTCTTTTAAATGCTTTCTACCTTAATACAATGTTTTTATTGCTTGGGTTTTTAAAAAATAACTGATACTTCACAAAACAGGAATTAAAAGAGCTCTCAAATTATGTTAATACCTTTTAAATTATCTGACAACTTTGTGTTTATTGTGTGAATGGGCAGTGCTGTTTGGGCCCCTGCCTCTTAGGCTTTGGGCTGCTAACTGCAAGATCAGCATCAAAACCACCAGCTGCCGGCTGGGAGAAAAATGGGGCTTTCTATGGAAAGAGTGACAATCTTGGAACCCCAAAGGTGCAGTTCTACCCTGCCCTACAGGGTCGCTATGAGTCAGAATCAGCTTGATGACCATTGTGCTGCTTGTTGGTGGGTCGTTTACAAACACACTTTCTTCCTTGCTTGCACACATTTGCATGGGCTCTCCAGGCTCTAGCCTTTCTCCAAGTACAGTGTGTTCACACACCTGCCTAGGAACACAAGCAAACCGTACAGCCACCTAAATAAATCAGTCACTAAAAGGCAGTACAATGGTTTATTTACACTGGCAACCTCAAAGCCCCAGACCTGCCGCACAGCTGGAGCACTGCCAGCAGGAACAAGGGGCTGAGGAGACAGGGCTTTGGTGTCGTTTTGTTTTCCTTAGATGTTCACACCCACCACCTGAAGCATGAGAAGACCTTTTCCAGAAGAGATGCAGGTCAAGGTTACACATTAAAATCTGCCCAGGCCAGCTCTGCTGAGTCACAGAGCTTCAATTAACAGGCTCTTCTTATACTGGAAGAAGAATGAGGGCACCCACTCACTGCAAGGCCTGAGCCCGGAGAGGAGGGCCTCCTTTAGGCCCCACTTGTCTTTGACTAGTTGCTGTAAGAGGAAACGCTCTTTCTTAGTTTTGAACTGTGGATTATGTAGTCTGTGGTCTGAAGGAGAAAACATCACAGGGCTCTCGGTGCGCTGTCACTGGACTGTGTGAAAAACGTGTGAATCCGCTGTGCCGCTGCTTGCCCAACGACATGCTCCAGTTCTTGCATGGAAGCGTTACTTAGGTGTTGGATACTTGGGAATTTCTGGAGCAGAAGGGGGGCTTTCACTTTTCCAACTCCTGGGATCTGCTGCACCGTCTGGAGGAGGGAGGGCTCGGAGAGCTGAGCGCGCTTCTTCCTGAGAAACGGGTTCTTACTGGGCTCTTTGGCTTGTTCGTGGACCTGAAGCAGAAATTGAAAGTGGCAGAAGAGGGGCAAAACCATGTGGGCATCCTCTGGATAGCTGGCTGTCTTATCCCATGTGGCTATTTCATTTTTCTGTTTAGTTGAATGCGACTTGCAGGAGCAATGGTGTCTTTTCATTTTTGCATCTACTATGAATAAATTTTTCAGACACCAGCCAAGTTTACTGAAAGTTGACTCGTGGCAACACAAGAAAAGCCAGAGATTACGAGTAAATAATTGGCAAAACCTTGCATTTTTGGAACATTTAGGATACACCTAATGGAAAATATACTATGAGGAATCTGAACTTTTTCTATTATCTGTAAAGCAGCTTTTCAACTCTAGGCCATATCTAAATGGGGTCTGCTTGAGAGAGGGCCTGGAGGTTGGACCTCAGGTAGTGGTGGTTATACAGGTAACAAGCGTGTGTGTGTGTGTGTGTGTGTGTGTGTGCTTGAAGCTAGAGGAGAGCCATGAAGAACTCTGTGTGTGTGTGTATGTGTGTGTGTGAAGCTAGAGGGGAGCCATGAAGAACTGGTGAGAACAGGGGCTGCATGCATTTTCTGCTTGGTTCCCTAACCCAACTGCACACACATCAGAATCAAGGGAGACCTAAAACAACTGGAATTCATGCTCAGGCCTGCTGATTTTTAATAGGCCTGAGGTAAGCTCAAGGAGTTCTAGTGGTACAGTGTGTTAGGTGTTAGGCTGCTAACTGGAAGGTTGGAGGTTCAAACCCACAGCTCCTCCGTGGGAGAAAGATGAGGCTGGCTGCTCCCATAACGTTTTACAGTCTCAGAAACTCCAGCCACCATGAGTTAGAATGGGCTTGATGACTGTGGGTTAGAAGTAATCTAGTGTCTTAGAGTCGCTGCAGCCAACTTAGAGAAAAATGAGTGGAGATCTTGAGAATCAGTTAATATATACATACAAACTTCCACATGGAAGTGCCCTAATGCCTAACACAAGCTATGTGGAGATGAGCAGAGCAGCCAACTTGACATGTTAACAATTTAAGTGCAGAACGATGAATGACAGTCATCTCAGCCTAAAAGCGGGTTTTCAATCAGTTCATTTTGTTATATCCACGCCTAAAATGGGCGGCAAATCAGTTTCTGATAGGAAATTTCTCCGAAACGTTTTATAAACGAATACATGGAATGATATACTGTATAAACTCGAGTATAAACTGACCTGAATATCAGCGGAGGCATCTAATTTTACAAAAACTGCATTTAAATTGTGCTGAAAACGCCTATACTCGAGTATATACGGTAGACTGAAGCAACATCAAGGCTACTACTGTCAGGGCTCTGGAGGAGGCAGTACTCACTAACTGAATAATGAGGCTGGCTGCTTCCTTCTGGCTGCACACCGGAAGCAGCACCATGCCGAGGTCCAGGACTGTGAACTTCTGTGCGGCCGGGAAGTACTGCTCGCTCATCTGTGTCTTCTCAACTAGTACAATCCCTTGAAGATGACTGGACTTCAAAGAAGAACACACAAAACCAGAAGCCAATGTGTCTATCAACAATGAGTACGAGAAGGAAGATAGAGTTCTGAAATTGATTGTGGTGATGATTGCACAACTCTTCTGAATATGACTGAACAATTAGTATGATATGTGAATTATATGTCAACAAAGCTATTAAGTAAAAAAGAAATCATCAGATTTAAACAACTATATGCTTATCTTATTCAAAACCTTGCACCAGCTGCCCCCCATATACTTAAATGGTTCACTCTGTCACTCAATTCAGATCTTTACTGAAAGGTCACTATTCAGGTGACACCATATTCAATACACTCCCACCCACCACATTCTATTCACTTACCTGCTTTATTACTTTTTAGAATTCTTTATTACTACCTGACAATATTTCATATATTTTTCCACTGTTTATGTGCCCAATAAAATGAACGTTCCATGGATCCAAAGAGAAAAGTGAGAATTTGGCAATGAAATTATTTGAAAGATTATTAAGAAAGACCTAGATATCAGGGAAAAGAGAAGGCAGGGTGTTTGGAGTGGTCAATTCTTTTGTCTTAGCACTGAAGCTAAAGCTTAGGGATAGGGCCATGTCTGATCAGAGCACACGGGAGCAAATGAAGGGGGAGGAAGAGAGAGTGGAGCACATCTTGGCCCACCAAGCCTTGGCAACGATATTCCTGCTCAGAGTAGCCAGTGCACAGAGAGGACCATATGGCTGTCCCCACTACGAGACACGACATACCTCACTGACCCACAGCCCTACGGGAGACAACACTGGAGACACAGTGTAGGAATTGGGCCCGACCTGACCACACCACACTGAGGAAAACACTAAGGGCGTGCAACAGAACAGCAAGGGGAGCAGAGCAAGGAGTCCCGAGGAAATACCAAAAATAGACTTTGGGGCCAAGGCTAAGCACCTCATCAGACTTCACTGGAAAACACTCCGAAAGGTCAACAAACCTTGAACTATTTACAGGTTTTTCTCTTTTTTTGTCATTGGTTTTCTTTTGTTGCTTTGTTTTGCTCTTTTTGTGTCTGCACATTATTATTTCTGCAGGTCTATCTAGATGAGATAGGCTGGATGAACAATCTGGAGGAGAAAACAACAGGACTGAGGGTTCCGGGGGGACATGGGAGAGGGAGAGGTGGGGGAAAGGAAGTGGGTGTTAACAAACCCAGGGACAAGGGAACAACAAGTGATCCAAAATTGGTGGTGAGGGGGGTGTAAGAGGCCTGGTGGGGCTTGATCAAGGGCAATGTGACCAAGAGGAATTACTGAAACCCAAATGAAGGCTGAGCATGATAGTGGGACAATAGGAAAGTAAAAGGAAAGAGCCAGGAGGCAAAGGGCATTTATACAGGTCTAAATACAGGCATGTACATATGTAAATACATTAATATATGCTGATGGGGAAATAGATCTATGTACATATATTTATAGGTTTGGTATTACGGCAGCAGATGGACATTGGGCCTCCACTCAAGTGCTCCCTCAATGCAAGAACACTTTGTTCTATTAAACTGGCATTCTATGATGCTCACCTTCCTGACATGATCGCTGAAGACAAAGTGGGAGCATAACTAAATGTGGTGAAGAAAGCTGATAGTGCCCAGCAATCAAAAGATATAGCATCTTGGGTCTTAAAGGCTTGAAGATAAATAAGCGGTGATCTAGCTCAGAGGCAAGCCTATGTGGAAGAAGCACACCAGCCCATGTGATTATTAGGTGTTGATGGGATCAGGTGTCAGGCATCAAACAAAAAAAATCATATCATTGTGAATGAGGGGGAGTGCAGAGTGGGGACCCAAGACCCATCTGTTGGCAACTGGGCATCCCCTTACAGAAGGGTCTGGGGGAGGAGACAAAAGAGCCAGTCAGGGTACAGTGTAGCAACGATGAAACATACAACTTTCTTCTAGTTCTTAAATGCTCATCCCCCCTCCCCCATCATGATCCCAATTCTACCTTACAAATCCAGTTAGACCAACAGATGTACAGTGGTACAGATAGGAACTGGGAACACAGAGAATCCAGGACAGAAGAACCCCTCAGGACCAGTAGTGAGAGTGGCAATTCCGGGAGGGTGGAGGGAAGGTGGAGTAGAAAGGGGGAACCAATTACAAGGATCTACATATAACCTCCTCTCTGGGGGATGGACAACTGAAAAGTGGGTGAAGGGAGACAGTGTAAGACATGACAAAATAATAATTTATAAATTAGCAAAGGTTCGCGAGGGAGGGGTTGCAGGGAGGGAGGGGAAAAATGAGCTGATGCCAGGTGCTTAAGTGGAGAGCAAATGTTTTGAGAATGATGAGGGCAATGAATGTACAAATGTGCTTGACACAATGGATAGATGAATGAATTGTGATAAGAGTTGTACAAGCCCCCAATAAAAAAATTCTTTTGTCTTTTTTGCAAATTGTGGCAAACGACGGGGAAGGGCGAGAGATACACAAATAAGTTTTCACTTCTAGTTATGTAACGCAATACTTACATTTCTGATCTGAACAAGCCTCTTTCTGTAGCCTTTTCCTGCCACCAAATCGGCTTCGGTAACATAGAGAATACAGGATCTGTTAGACAAGTAAAAATCTACCGGTGTGAGTCCCTCCTCAAACGCGAGTTTAATTTTGCCTTAAAAAGAGATGAAAATGAGCATGGCGAGCTTGAGAGAAAAAGTGACATTTTTAAAAGGGCACTGGCGGGGGTGGGGGGATGGGGTTGAAGGGAAGGTTTGGGGGTGGGCAGGATCAAACAGAGGGCAGCCCGTGGACCTTGCATCTCTTGTGCCAGCTGTGACCCACGCCATCTCTCACAGGCCACGATGTGCCCCAAAGGCACATATATGGGGCCTGTGCCATCAGGGAGGCTCCTTTCCATCGGTGGCCTGGATCTAAAGAGAGAAACGCTAGATGATAGCGGAGCAGGTTCTGCCCAAAGCCCCACATCCCACTCAAAGTCGGGGCTTCGGGGGCTAGATCCCAGTTCTGACTGGATCCTTGGAAAGGCTGGGAAGGATCATGAAACACCACTCCACGTACCTGTCTCACATTCTCGTCACCTCAGTTCAGACGTGCGCGGCTCCGACTCAGCCGACCCAGCTCTCTCCCGGAGCGGTTCCGGGGGCAGACGCGGGCTCCGGCCTCGTCCTCGCTCGGCTCCGCCTCCGAGAGCGCCGATAGGCCGTGGCATCGGGAATGGACATCTGAACGGGCCAATAAGAGCGCGGAACGTCTGGCCTGTTTCCGCCCTGGTGAAGATTTGAATGGGACCCGCTGGTTGTCAGGAGCGACGGCCATGGCAGTACCCTTGGCTTTGATTGGTTGACGAGAAAACCGAGCCAATGACGGGCGTGGCTGTTGCAAAGTCAGATGCGAAGACAGGAGCGTCCGCGGCCGGGCCAGACTAGCGGGAATCTTTCTCAGGAAGCGGCCGCGGCGAGGCCTTCGCCGGCTGTCAGGATGCCGCTGAGCTTTCGGAGAAGCCGCAAGAGCCACTTTGTAAGTGCGTGGACGCTCGCCTGCCCCGCGCTTCGACGCCGTGGGGCCCCGAGTTAGCGGGCAAGGGCCTTGGGGATTGGACTGAGACGGAGGCGTTGCTCGTTTGGGAAGGCCTAGTAGTTTGTGTTCTATAGAATCCTCTCCCGAGGGTTGGCCCCCATCGGACAGGGTTCACCCGGTCTTCCCTCCTACATTCGCTCACGTGCCGGGGAGCTCGTTCTTGGTTCTGCCCTCCCCAACCCACCAGGGACGCCCCATCAGAAAGTCCTATCGGTTCTATCCCCTTGGACGGGCGTCTCAGAACGGGTCGATGCGACATTGACCTCCAGCTTGCCACCAAGACTGTTGCAGCAGTTTCCCGGCTTCCACTCTTGCTCTTCCCGGAGTCCCTTCTCCACATAACAGGCGGCCAAAGGGATTCTTTCTTCCTCCAACGGGATGTTTTCCCCTTAACTTTCTACTGTGAACTGGGTGAAGGTTTTTGACATTTCATCCATATTTTGCTTCATCGCAACCCCTTCAAGGTAGCATCACGTATCCCACACCCTCCCTGTGTTTCCTGTTTCCGTTCCTAACCCTTCTGCACTTTGGCCCCGGGAAAAGGCTGCTCTTTTGATCTCAGATGGCTGTTAAATTTAAGTGTTTGTGCATCTGGAGTTCTATTGCTCCCCTTAGAGATCTGTCTTTTGGCTGAAAATTGAGCCATGGGGGCAGAGGGTGAGTTCATTTCCAGACCTGAAGGGTGAGTAAGGGCCACAGTCTGTACTTGACCAGTAAGCCTGATCTCTTTTATGATCAGTTTTCTCCCACTCCATCCAGGTTTGGGATCCCTTTCGGGGCAGCTGGCAGTGGTAGCCAGGCATCATCTAGCTCTTTCCGTCTTGGGGTGGTGGAGACTGATGTTTGTGTCGTCCATTAGTCCATAGTCTCATTGATTCCCTCTGTCTTTGATTTGCATCACTCTTATTTCAAAGAGATTCTTTTAAAACTTAAAATCGTATCCTCTCATTAGATCCCAATGCAGTACCCCCCTGTCCCTCCAAGACCAGGCTTCTCTATTCCTTCTGCCTGGAATGCTTCCCTCCTAATCTTTCCGAGTGCTCATACTCCCAACCTTGTTCTCTGTCCACACGTCCTGTCTTTCCTATTTGCCGGTAGTATTCCGACTCCCAACAATCTGCTGACACTGCCCCTTGCCCAACCCTGGAATCCACAATTGGTTGAGCCAGCTGACTTTTCACTGAGTGTAGCGGCCCTCGCTTTTGGGAGTGGAAGCAGGAGGGCTGTGGCTAGCAGATGCAGATAGTGGTATGAGGAATGTGTAGCATACTCTGGCATCCCTCATCTAAAGAAATAAAACAAGTCATCTTTTTAAAGGGCCTACTTTTACTGAGGGTCAGCCTCTGGGAATCCAAAGGTGAATAAAACTCTTCCTGCCTGTGGGCATCTCCCCGGAAGTGGACATGTCAACTTAACAAATGGCTGGAGGGGGGCACTCCCAAGAGGGATAACTAGAGTAGAAGGGGATGGTGGTGGCAGTGCCCAGGGCAAGGGGTTGCCCTCACCCTCACCATGACTTCCACTGGCTATCATTGTTTTGCAGAAGTATATTGCCCATGGCCTCCTCCCTGCAGCCAGCATCGCACCGAAGCCAGCGGTGCCACGCACACCTCCTCCCCGCAGCCCCAACCCCTCTCCAGAGAGACCGAGGTGAGTGTCAGATGAGTGGGCACCGGGATCGCCTCTGTCAGAGGTCCCGGGGCCTGTGCTCTGCTACCAAGCTCTGCACCCTGGGATCTGCTCATACTCTGACAAGTCGATAAAATCACGTCCTTAGAAATATTTATTACACTTGTATCGTGAGACACTTAATATCATTTCTCTGTGGGATAATGGACTTCCTTCTCTTTACACTACATAGTGTCCTCACATTTCATACCTAGATGCAGTCACTACTACTACAAAAAAATGTAAAAGCACTAGACTCAAAGCCAGATTCACTGCCATCGAGTTAATGCCAACAATTCATAACAACCTTCTAGGTCAGCATAGAACTGCCCCTGTGGGTTTCTGAGACTAACTCTACAGGAGTAGAGATCCTCATCTTTCTCCCAAGAGCCAGCTGGTGGTTTCAAACTGCTGCCCCATGCGTAACCCACTGCAGCACCCGGGCTCACCTGCTTTAGGGAAGGAAGGAAGGAAGGAGGAGCATGTTCACTTGCCAGGGCTTTGGGTTCCCTACCCGCTGGTACTTACAGCGTAGTTGATAACTGCATTCTTTCATACTTAGCCCTGACCTCAGCCTTCAGGATTTAAGGCCCAGGAGAATTTTAGCCTGTTTTTAATCGAGAAAGCAGTCTGCCTTGACTAGTAATAGTCAATGAGGACTAAGTTCATTCAAAGGTGATGTTTTTTAAAAGTGTTCTTTGAAATTAGAATATTGTGTTAAACTGCTGCTACGTCAGCATTTACATTAGATTATAACCCTGTGGTAATCATCTCTTTGAGAAGAATTAATAATCAGACTACTCCAAGGAGTTGGGGATGGATGATCCCCAAATGCCCAACTCTTCAATGGTGCTATTCAGCTTCATTGAGGATGATTTCCTCACATTTCTGGGTTCTTCAAATTGCTGCAGAAACTCAAAAAAGTTTCAGGAATGTCTCACTTTGTGGTAGGTGCTGTCCAGTCCAAAATCTGAAGGTCAGGCAGGGGTGAGCCAGATGCTGGGGCCAGAAGACCGGCTCCATTCCTGGCTCTTGTTGGTGATGAGGCCACACCCCCTGCTTCTCAGTGGGCTCATTTTATATTCAGCAGGATAGCATTGCAGGGAATCTAGGTCATAATTACTCACAGGTGAATCTTATCAGTCTTCTCCCCCTGTTCCCCCCTTCTCCCCCTACACACACCTTTTTATCAGACCCATGCAGGGTAAGGCCGCTTGGTAGGCGTTACATTGAGTGGAATCAAATTAACAGATAACCCTTCACTTTTTTAATGATACCCACGTAGCAGGTTGTATTAGGCTAGGTGGACTAGAGAAACAAATCTAGTCACATTGATACATGTGTAAGTGAGAGCTTCTTTTTTTAAAAATTTTTTTTATAGGAGGCTCGTACAACTCTTATCACAATCCATCCATCCATCCATTGTGTCAACATATCATCATTCTCAAAACATTTGTTTTCTACTTGAGTCCTTTGTGAGAGCTTTATATCAAGAAGTAATTACGTTTCAATAAAACATCCCAGCCCAGTCCAACTCAGTTCCTTAAGTCCAATACTAGACCATCCGTCCCTCTTCAGACTCACAAAGCCACATGCAATGATGCAGAATGCAGGCACATCGCCAGCTCTTAACAGAAAGGTGAAGGTAGAGTGGGCGAATTCCCCAGAATATTCCTTATGAGATGGCCCCGGCCACCAGGAGACACCGTCAGCCTGTGACCTGATTGAAAAGCTAGACTCCACCCTTGCACTATTTTCAAGTCGCCTGAAATTATGTTACTATCACACAGGTCATCATATGCGATTATAGATCAGAACAAATAAAACATCATTTCATGGCAAGCATGCTGTAGACTCATTAGAAAGTCTCTCTCTAGTCTCTTTGGCATGTAAACTTTTCAACCTCAAAATAATCAACTTGACTTTGGCTAATATGGCATATTTCTACATTTTTTAATTTCTGAAAAGTAACATTTAATCCAGTCTTGATTTGTTCACTTTTTCTCCCCAGTTCAATCTTTAATCTCATTCCACTTCATGTCATAGAGTAAGAACCTTACACCAGTTTACCTCCTTTTCCTTCCTCCCATCTGGCTGTCATACATTTTATTTCTATGTTTTACGCTCCGCAGTACACGTACATTGCTACTGTTTTTGCTTGAGACCGTCATTTATTTATTGTTAATCTTAGGTTGTAATTTATTTATCATAAACTAAACCTATTTAAAATGCATACTTTGATGACTTTTGGCATACGTTTACATCAATGAAGCGATCACCACAATTAGAATAATAAGCATCTCACGCCACTTTGTAATTTCCCACTCCCACCTCCCACTTCCATATCCAACCTGCTCCCTCCCCCAGGTCCCCTGGTCTGCTCTGTGTCGCTGAACATCAATTTGGAATTTCATATCAGTGGAATTACAATAAGGAATGATGCTGACTGCTTTCATGCAACATAGTTATTTTGAGGTTTAGCTGTGTTGCTGGGAGCCCTACTTATTGCCAGCCCTACTTATTGCCAGCCCTACTTATTGCTCAATAATTATCCCTTGTGTGAACAAAACATGAAATTTCTAATCCATCCACCTGTTGGTGGGTATTTGGTTTGTTTCTGGTTTGGGGGCCACTAGAAATAATGCTGCTATAAACACATCTTGTTGTTTTTTTTAATTTATTTATTTTAAAAAAATGTTTTATTGGGGACTTGTACAACTCCTATCACAATCCATATATCCATTCATTGTGTCAAACATATTTGCACATTTGTTGCCATCATCATTTTCAAAACATTTTCTTTTGGCTTGGGTTTTATTTTATTTTTTAAATTATTTTATTAGGGGCTCATACAACCTTATCACAATCCATACATACATCAATTGTGTAAAGCACATTTGTACATTCATTGCCCTCATCATTCTCAAAACATTTCCTCTCCACT